CTGTGTCTGCTTTGGAAGTTGCATTCAGGAATGTTGGCAAAGCTGAGCAAGCTGCAGCTATTGTTTGAGATGATTCTTTAATTACAGAATCTATATTATCAACATTAGTTTTCTTTCTTTTTTTAATATCCGATTTAGGTACTGTGAGTGAGCAATCACTTATTTCATCACCACCAATACTCTTATTAAACTTATTCTCTGAAACTTTTTACAGATATAAGAAGTGCATTTTTTCATAATCAGAAATTGAATTTTCTCTGAAAAAAAAAATAATTTGATCATGTTCGCGAGGGCGAATCCGCGTTTGCTTATGTTACGCAGCTCGTAGGATCCGATCGGGATCGTGATCGTCTCGTCGTTGTCGTCGAAGTAAAATTTATTGTTCGAGGAATTCACGTTCGGAATCGTGTTGTAGGTCTCGAAATTGGTCAGGCCGAGCTCGTAATCGTCGTCTCTCAGATCGAGAGGCGGAAAGTAACTCGCCGTGAGAACGTTGCTTCTTCCGGTCAGCGTGAAAATCAGCGACATGATGACGCGCGCTATCGCCGTTAGAGACCGAAGGGCTTCCTCCTTCCTCCTCCCCAATCGACTCGTCGAAGGAAGCGCAGGCACAATTGTCCGCAGACGCTCTGATCGTACGTCTGCTGAGAGTCGCGATTGTACGCGATATGCGTGTCGCGTCCGAGATAACGCACGAATTCTCGAGGCGGCCCGAAGATTGCCGAAAGCGTCGAAGTAGATAGCGTCTTTTCCCCTTTTAGCGTACGCCACCCAATGCGTGCCTGGCCCCGAGGCGTCGTCCAGGTTCACGATTCCACTCTCGTCGTGACGAACTCGCGCCGGCAACGCGTCGCGCATGAACACATCTCTGAAGTGACGCACGCGAGCGCGCTTGGCCGCGCTATTCAACTGTTCGTTTGTCGTGACGCCGATCGCAGCTACGACGTCGTCTAACGCGCGCGAAGGCGCGACTTTTTTTTTTCTTCCTCCTAATCGTTCGTCCGCCTCGTCTCGCGATGCTTCCGCCGCGCTTTCTAAGGCGCGAGATACAAACCGCGACGCTCCACCGCTTGATTGTGTCGCTGCAGCTCCTCCAATTGACGCGCGGCCTTACCGTCGTTCACCATCTTCGCCACGCCGGCCGCTCCGCCGATCAGCGATCCTAAAGTTCCGAGCGCCGGCAACAGCGGCAGGAAGCCGCCGCGTTTCGCCGCGGGAAGAACTCGTCCTCTCGTCGTCCTCCTCCTCATTGAGGTCGTTCTTCTCTTGCCGCTGCCGCCGCTCTTTCTCGCGCCTCTTCGCGCTCCAGCCATATCCATTCCTAGTTTCGTCTTCGCCTTCATAGCCGCCTATACGATCGACGCCGCCACTCTCTCGCCGAGAGTCGAATCCCCGGCCCGGATACGCTCGAACGCTCTTGCTCCGAGCGCCCGATCCGTGCCGATCGGCGAGATCGTCGCTCCGCGAATAGGCGATGTCGTGCTCGCGGCAAGCCGCGTCCAGCGGATTGACGCCTCGATCGCCTCGCGCGAGCCGCTTCGCGAGACGAGTACCGGGACCGCAAAACTGATATCCCGGTATATGTAGTTCGAACGGAAGAGCGTTTATAGTTCTATTGAGCAAACCGCTACCGTCGACGACTGCTGTCGCGGCGTCCTCGGCGTATCTCATACGCCTCGATCATCGACGCGCTCATCGTCACGCCATTTCGTTCTCCCGGCACATGCCGCAGTCTTTGATGCACGGCGGCGGACCATCGATGTGCGTATCTTGCCACGGCTGATTGTGATGCTTGTGACAGAGGCGATAACGCTGCATGTCCGGATCGTCCTTCAGATGTATAGGCAATCTCTCCCACAATCGATCGACGAAATCGCCGTACTTGTCCAGCAGAAGCTTCTTCGGAACGTACTGCAACTGATCGACGTCCGAGAATATCGGAATCGTTCACCAATAGAATAAACATGACGAAGCGTCGCACGCGTAACTTTATCGCGTCACCGTCGATCGGACACGCCTAACTGCGCGATCGTTTTTTTTTCCTCTATATATATGTTCGCGAGGGCGAATCCGCGCTCGTTGCTCGCGCGCGCGCGAGTCTGCGCACTGAGACGCAGATTCGCTCGCGACAACGAGGAAGAATCGCAAGAGGAGAGAGAGAGAAAAAAACGATGCGTTTCGTGCGTCAACCGATCGCGATAAGAGTGTCCAACGTCGATGGTAAGACTCGCTCGATGAACGAGGAACCGCGAAAACACGGTAATCTGTTACCGACCGCAATTCGCTGCGTAATCTGCGGTCCCTCTAATTGCGGTAAAACGAACATGCTGATAAGCCTTCTGGAGAGCCCGCACGGCGTGCGATTCGAGAACGTGTACGTTTACTCGAAATCGTTGCATCAGCCTAAATATCGATATTTGGAGAAATTGTTGAAACCTATGCGGGATATCGGTTACTTCACGTATTCGAACAACGCCGACGTCATCCCGCCTAGCGAGGCGTTGCCAAACTCGATATACGTGTTCGACGACGTGGCCTGCAACAAACAGGACGTCGTGAGAGAGTACTTCGCCATGGGGCGTCACGTGAAGGTCGATTGCTTCTATCTGTGCCAATCGTACGCTAAGATACCCAAACATCTGATACGCGACAACGCGAATCTATTGATACTCTTTAAGCAGGATGGCACTAATCTGAAACACGTGCACAGCGATCACATGAACACCGATATGTCGTACGAGGATTTTCACGTGCTGTGTCGCGCGTGTTGGAAATACCGATACGGTTTTCTAGTGATCGATAAAGATAGCGCGCTGCGCAACGGTAGATACAGGCGAGGATTCAACGATTACACCGTGCCGTAGAGCGTCGCGAGCGTCGTCATCGTCGTCGCCGAAGATGAGTCAGTCTTCTCGAAACGGCGGCGATCGTAGAGGGGAGAGAGATAAGAGAAGGCGAAACGCCGAGGAACGACGCGCGATGACGGACGTCGACAGACGCGAGAAAACCGCGATAGAGATAGCGAGAACGCGCGCGTCGATTCGCAGGAAGCACAGAGCGTTGAAGACCGGAAGGATGGAGAATGATAGCGCTCTGGAGACGCGTTTCAAACCGATCGTCGAACCGTTGCGACGCATCGCCGAGCGCGTCGGAGACGATTTCACGCGAAGCGCAAGCGCGAGAGAGAAGAAACCGACGAAGAACGAGATCGACGAGACGTTCGCGCGAGGCGTCAAGAGAATGGAAGCGCCGGAGGAGGAGGACAAGGAAGAGGCCGAGGAAGAGACCGAGGACAGCGCATTACCTCCGCTGTCCGCGAAAGGATTCAAAGCTAAGCGATCTCGCCGTCTGGACGCGACGACTTCCACGCCCGTGGGAGCGTTGGACGCGTCTCCCGCGCAGCAGCGCGAATTCACGAACAGAGATCTCTTCGCGGAGCCGCCCGTCGAGGAGACGTTCGAGACGAGCGTGTTTGGATCGCCGGCGACGCTCGAAACGTCGGTGAAACGGTCTCTGCGGACTCCTCGAGGGCGAGATATCTTGCGCGATCAATTGGGTCCGTTGGCGTGAAAGTACGTGGGCGCTCTTCTCAGCGGCGGCGCGCCGAGCGATTTCGATCACGTTTACGGAGTCTACTTCGCCGACGCCGGAAACTATGCTCGGAAACAAGCGATTCGACGCCGAAAACTATGCTCGGAAACAAGCGATTCGACGTAGGTACCGACGACGCGATATTCGTGGACGGAGTCAGATACGCCGGTACTCCCGGTCTGTGGACGAATTGATCTTCAAGAGAATTCCCGACGATTTCAAGTACACTGAGAGAGACAAAGCCACGTACAGGAGCATACTTCTGCAAACTAACGCTCACAGGCGCGAGCACAATATTTATTTATTTATTTATTTATTTATTTATTTATTTATTTATTTATTTATTTATTTATAGACGGGACCAATAAGTCCCTTTAGTACAAATACATTACAATTTTTTTACAGCGGAAGGACTAGTATAGATATTTGGCTAAAGAACATCTAAATTTGTTAAGAGAGCCGTGAAAAAAATCAATTCGATTAGATATATCATTAGACAATAGGCATATTCGATTAAGGGGTTTAAATCTGCCGTAGCAGGTCCGGTGCGACTCCTCATGAAAGATAGAGTTGGCTCTCAATGATTTGACAGGAGCATGCAGTCCAATACGGCCAGTAAAGTCAGGACAGGTTATATACCCATTGATTATTTTAAAGAGGAGTTGGATATCAAAAAATCTCGTTCTATTTTCCAGTGAGTCGAGATTAAGCAAATTCATTATCCAATCATAATTATGGTCCGAATAGTGCATAGGATTGTCCGTGAGAAAACTGATTCTTCGAAGAAAGCGGTGTTGAATACTTTCAATCATTACGCAGTACTTTGTTTGGAGCCCATACCATAACGGCATATTCAAAGTGTGGTCTAACCAAAGCGCAAAACAGTAACCTTAGTGTGGAAATATTATGAAAATATTTACATGAACGAAGCCGAGTTTTCTGTATGCACGATTTACCAATGTCTGAATATGGAGTTCCCAAGACAAATTCGAGCAAAAGACAACCCCCAGGTCACGGATGGAGTCAGTCGACGCGAGAGGGACTCCGTTTAAAAAATACTCGTGCTTGTTTACATATCTTTTGCGGGTGAAGTGAATCACTTGACATTTAGTTAAGTTAAAGCTCAAGCCATTCTCAGAACACCAATGATCAAATCGGTGGAGATCAGACTGCAGAAGCCGCGCATCATCGGAGGATGTAACACGGCGGAAAATCTTCAAGTCATCTGCGTATAACAAAAAATTGCAGTTCTCAAATTCATTCTTAATATCATTAATAAATATATTAAATAAGAGCGATCCCAAGCGCGAGCCTTGGGGTATCCCCGAAGAAGCAAGAATGGTCTGAGAAAGGCAATTATTAAATTTAGCAATCTGCAGTCTATCCGTCACAAAATCCGATAACCATTTTTAACCCTTTGCACTCGAGGCCTTTTTCGCTTGCGCGAACCAGCAACTCGAGACGATTTCGGCCAAATTCGGCGAACACTTTACAAGTACTTTAAAAACATTTATAAACAAACAAACGTATACAAATAATAAAATTTCACCAGTTTATTCATTTATATGTCGAAAACAACAAACTTTGATAAATATTACACTCTGTAATTAGTTTTGGTGTGATATTTTGTAAAACAATATCCAAGATGCATCCTAGGTTTGTCAGGACACGTATCACAGTAATACGAAATTTCCCGCCTACCTCCAGGCGTGTTACGGTCAGAACAAACCTTGCAGTCCCTTTTTGGCCCTTTTAGTATTATGTGAAGCTTCCCGTTTAGTCGGATTTCATCGGAATGCGACGTAGACGCTTGCTCTCGATGCTGGCGATATGATCCTCTCAATTGTTCGACAAGTGTTTTCAGAAATCGCAGATGGCTCAGTGGCTTTTCCCCTTTTTTGGTCTTTTCTAGTTTATACAAAATATATGAATTGATCAGGGAAATTTCCATGCCCCAAAAAAAAAAGCTTACGCCATTTAAGCGATTTTCGCAGAAAACAATAGGTTGACGCATATTGGTCCGCCCGATCAACACCACCCATATATTTTATATAGTTCAATACAATATTGGGTTTCTTGACCATTATATCCACACCACCTCGTGTAATTCTTTTGACCGTCGTCATTCCTGTGTCACCCCTCGTAGTCAAACAAGTGACAACCCTCTTATTTTTCCACCCTAAAACTAAGGTGTTGCCCCGTCGATACGCGACCGTGGATTTTGTCGAAAAATTTGGCTTTTTTATTTCCTTGGGCAATTCTTTCCTGTTCGTTAAAATTGTTCCGGTAAGATTACATTTCAATTTGGCTAGTTCTTGAGCTAAGAAATAACTAGTATAGTAGCGGTCCGTGTACATATGGTGCCCCTGAGCACCTGGAATTTTCTCCAACAACATTTGATATAAGTGTATCGGAATTCTTGATAAAACTGGTAAATCGGGTCTGACCAAGAGCTCTGTGGTGAGTGATCCATAATATGGCAAAATGCAGCAAATGTAGCCAGTCTTTGAGTCAGCTAGAGCATAAACTCTGATATCCCATTTTGTCGGTTTCTTCGGATTGTATGTTATGAACGAAATTCGACCCTTGAATTTTATAGTTGACTCGTCCACACATATGTGCTCGCCCGGGATAAAATAATCCAAAAACTTCGAGTTGACATAGTCCAAAAAGCAGCTTACGCGTTGTAGGCGCGTTCGTGGATTGGTGTTGCGTGTTGGAATAGTTTCCAGATGAAGCATCCAGAAGATTTGGCTAAATCTGTCTCTTGTAAATGTATCCGAATAGAAAGGAATATAACTGACGACATTCCTCGACCAATATTCTTGCAAATTGGCCAACGGCATCGTCCCCATATTGATTACGACAACAAGAAATGCCCAGAACTCTTCGTTGGTCACATCACGCCAGCTTCGCCAAATCGAATTTGCAGATAGCGTCTTCCCTTCCAATTTTCTTTTTGCATATATATTGGTTTCACAAATAATTTTTTTCACGAGGTCATTAGTGAAAAACAGTTTAAAAAAATCTATTGGTTGTTTTATGTTAGAAACTATTCGTGTTGCTGTGGGGTTTTGGCCAGGTATAAATTGTACGTTTGGCGGCACTTCGTCGTAGTCTCCGCAAAGTACCCATGTTGAACTGCTTGCACCTTCCACAGTTTCACTTTCAACTTCTCTTTCAACATCACTCTCAACTTCACTGTCGCTCTCTATAATTCTAATTTTCCGTCGTCTCACACCTCTTACTGCATCACTGTCTTCTCCACTGGATTCGTTCGTTTCGCGGCGTAATCCGTCGGAAATCGATGTAAGTTCATCATCCAAAGCGGCAAAATCGAATTCGTCCGAACTCGAGCTGATCTGATCTTCCTCCATATTTTTAGGGCTCAAACACTTTTTAGTTACTATATTTACTGCCAAGACTGTTTCAAGCGAATGCTACGTTGAGACTAACTAAACTGAGCTAAGATTTGGCTACAATGTCAGCGGAGCCTAGTCCACGAAAGTACTTCCGAGAAAAATATCTTATCGCACATCGTAAATAAGGAGATCGAGTTACAAAAGACCATAGCGTCGTAGCAGCGTCGCTCGATTTAAGACTTCAAATCACTCGGGCGCCGCAGCAGCGCCGCTCGAGTTGACACTTCAAATCGGCCGGGCGCCGCAGTAGCGCCGCTCGAGTTGACACTTCAAATCGGCCGGGCGCCGTATCGGCGCCGCTCGAGTGCAAAGGGTTAACAATAATCCGCCGATCCCAAATGCCTGCAGTTTGCGTAATAATACGGCGTGATCAACTATCAAAAGCTTTCCGAAAGTCGGTGTATATCGCATCAATTTGTGAGCTCTCCTCAACGGCAGAAATTATGGAGTCATGGTAAATAAGTAGATTAGTTAAAGTAGAGCGACCAGCCACAAAGCCATGTTGCTCATCGATTATTGCATTCTTTGACAGCGCCGAGAGCTTTCCGGCAACAATGTTCTCGAAAATCTTTGGCATTAGGTTCTGTTTGCTTATCGGTCTATAGTTGGAGACTAAAGACCTATCACCACCTTTAAATACTGGAGTGACAATAGACAATTTCCACAGGCTCGGAAAAATACCGCTCGTCAAAGACTTCTCAAAAATCAACCAGAGCACTCTCATTACAAAGTTACATGATTTAAGAACATTACAAAGTTACACGATTTAAGAAAAACCGGAGGAATGCCATCTGTCCCCGGGGCAGAACCGTCATGCAGAGAATTAATGCTATTAAAAATGTCACCTATAGAGACATCAATGTTTGATATATTTAAGTCATGATTGTACCTCGAATCCCCAATACCGCTCCCATTACCAAGTGAGTACACCAATTCAAAAAAATTCGCAAAGCAATTGGCAATCTCAGTACCGTCTTCTATAATACGGCCATTGTGACAAATATACGATGTTAGACGACTTAGCCGAGGACATGGAATTAATAAAGTTCCAAAATACTTTAACATTGCTGGAGATCGCATTTTCTGACCTCCGAATATAAGCCCTCCAGCATTTCGACGAGAGAGAATTGCATCTGGCTCTTAACTGAGAGAATGCAAGGTAGTCCGAAATTTATAATGAGCGGATTTCTTTTCTTTAGTAAGAATTATTAAATCTTTAGAAAACCAGGCGGGATAAGTCGATCTTCGCGGTAAATATCTTGGAACAAAAGCAGTAATTGCGTGACTATAATCGAGGTGACTATATAAAAAATCTATCGCGCCATTAACATCCCGATGACGTAGTTCATCATCCCACATAATATTTCCCAAGTAATTATTTATCTCTATATAATTAGCACGCTTGAAGTTAAATCTCCATTCAGAAGGCGATGAACAGGACGACGGCCCCGATGGCATCGGCAAAGAAATTGTGAGGGCAGGATGGTAATGATCACATGTACATATTGGCTCCGATACCGAATGAACCGAGACATGCCGCAAGTTAGAAAAGACAAGATCGAGTATATTACGATTTATGTTGACAATATTATTATATTGGCGAAGATTAAACTTATTAAAAAAATGTGAAATTGTATTCGCCTGTTCTGTCATACGATAATGACTAGAACTGTTATCACCATCATACGAACAAAACGCGTTAGGCAGATTATAATCGCCAATCAACAAAATATCTGCATTAGGCATAGACGACTTAACTTCCTCGACCGAAAGACAGTGTGCTTCATAAAGTGAGGGCTCTGACGAGGACGGTATATAAACAACTCCTATAATCAAGTGTCTATGCCCAAACCGAATATCAACAAATAATTGCTCTACACGCGTTGTCGTCGTTCTTCAAAACACGGCTAAACAAGCACCTGCGGACCGCAATCAACACACCACCGCCTCGCGAATAATTACTACTAGCTGCGCATCTATCCATGCGAAAAACATTATAATCATCTAATCCCAATTCCGTGTCCGCAACGCTGTCATTCAGCCATGTTTCAACTAAAATATAAATATCAAAGTTATCTGCCATCGAGGAGGACGCACAGCGCAAGTCCCATAGTTTAGCTCTAAGGCCACGCGCGTTTTAATAATAAACTAAAGGGGAGCGAGTCACTTTTTTATGCCGGAACCATGTTTAATGTTCACAATTCTGGGAACCCCATTCCTGTAGCGGATGGTGTTGTTCGTCTCGCCAGCATCAATAAGTGATTTCAGTTGAGCTTGTAAATCATGTAGATGTTTCCTCTGCTTTAACGTTTGATCCTGAGATATTTTCATAGGGCCAGTATAACGGTATTTATTCCGAAGTATAAACAAAGCATCTTGTTTTGACGGAAGAGAAACGCGCAACGGTCTGGAGTGACCTTGGCGCTTTTGGCCTAATCTTAAACTTTTATTTATCTGAGGCGTTTTCTGTGGATTAATTTTTCGAATAATCTCGCAAGCCAGATCAACGTCATTACAGCCCCCATCTTCAGCTTCATCCATGTTGTAAAGGATTAGGTTTGTTGTTCTTCTCTCTCTATCCTCCAGCTCTTCAATTATGTCCTCCTCCAAAAATGATAACGCCTGAGGTTGCGACTTATTCAAGAGGCCTTCGAGTTGTCCCACTCTGGGGCTTACACAATCCCTGGATATCGTTATTCAATTTATCGATTTCAACTCGATACAATTCTCTCATCTCCCTGCGGAAGTCTTCAAGCTCAGCATGCAGTAGATCTTTCATTGCATCGAGAAGAGTGGAGTTGATATCCATCTGTTGCGACGCGCGAGATGTCGAAGGTCCTGAGCAATCTCCAAATTGACCGTTAAAATGGGGGTGTCCAATGCGGGAGATGCATGCAGGATGAAATGCAATACCGCAGGTTTTAAAATCAACCAATTGATTTTACAATGACTGTACCGCAGCCCCTACACGTTTTTCTACCATCCATGATCGATAAAAATAGATCGAGAAACGCACGAGACTAGAGCGGAGAATAAACACGTCTGTCCTTTGTCGCTGTAAATACTGTACTTGTATAATAAAATATTCACATACCCGTACTAGGAAACAAGGGATACAAGTACAAGCACGTCATAGCTCCGATCTTGCATACGGACAGTCCGAGAAAGAGAATCGGCGGGGGTCGCGTGCCGCGGGTTATGCGCGTGACCCGCGACACCGTGGACTACGTTCATTGGGACGATCCGAACGAATTGGTGGATCGTCTTCGATTGCTGGACGCTTCTCGTCAAGCCGGCAACAACGCTCATGACAACGAGATCCTGTCGATAATCGAGGAGCTCCGCGAGGCGGGCAAAATACTGTGAGACGATCGTGGTGACGCGCGCGCGCACGCTTCATTCGACGACACGATGTTCGCGAGCAAGTTCGGAGTGTCGACGCGGAGAAGACGCGGTCGCAACGCGACGAGCGCTAGATTGCGCGCGAGCGTGGAATCTTTACGAAATTACGTGCGCGATAACGCGCTGTGCCTGACCGTCTCCGACATCTCTCCCTCCGCGTCGCATTACGACACGCGGCGTCTCAAGATACGAGGAGTGGCCTGGCCGACCAACAACGACGACGAACAAGAGTTACGTCAAAAGTATTATACACGTGGTGAGAGCGAACGTGGCGAATAATTACCAGATTATCGCGAGTGTGAGGACGCGAGTGGATAACAACGCGGCCTCGTCGGCGAAAAAAATCGTCGCTCTGAGCAAGAAAATCGACGCTCTCGAGAGCGCCGCGACTGAAAAATCGAGCGCTCTGGAAACCGACGTTACGCAGATTCGAGCGAGGGGGAGCGCTCTCGAGAATCGGCTGCAAACGCTGGAGAATCTGCAGGAGCTCGCCGCGACGAAGATCGAGACCGTCGAGGCGGAGAGATCGGCCTCGCGCGCGGTCGCCGACAAGCGACTGAGCGATCTGGAGACGAATCGAATCGTTCCGTCGAGACGAATCGGGCGAACGGGGACGCGTCGAACAAACTGTTGCGCGAACTGAAGACCTCCATCGCGTGGCTCGAGGAGATCGACGAGAAAACGGAGAAGTGAGTGTGCGCCTTGGAGAGATCTCTGTCGCACGTGAACAACGTAGCGGCGAACAACGAGAGAAATCGAGCCGCGTTGAGTAGTCACGACAGAACGCTGCAGGAGTTGACGGCGAAGGCGCTGACTTCTAACGCGAAATTGCGAGAACTGGACGCCGAGGTGGCGCGTCTGAGGAAAGACGCGAACGAACTCGCGAGGAGAACGGCCGCGACGACGACGACGGCGACGAAAGCGGCGGCGAAGGCGGCGGCGGCGGCGGCTGCGATTCCTAACACGATCGATCCGAATAAGGTGGTTATACAACTGGGCGCTAAAACTCCTAATAAGCAACAGTCGAAGAGAGGGTAGAAAAAATAAAGACGGCGAGATGAGCGCCGCGAAACGGAGACTCGTGAACGAGCTGCACGCGCCCGCGAGAAAGAACTTCCCCCGCCGTCGCGTCGCGGTGCGCGGATACGACGATCTGTGGCAAGCGGACGTCGTCGAGATGCGCCCTTACGCCGGACAGAACAGAGGCCACAATTACATACTCACCGTCATCGACGCTCTGAGCAAGTACGCGTGGGCGGTACCGCTCAAGAGAAAGAGCGGCGACGAGGTCGCTTGAGCCCTGTCGAGCGTGACGCGCGCCTCCAGGCGCCGCCCGAGGAATCTGCAGACCGACAAAGGAAAGGAGTTCTACAACGCCGAGATGCGAAGATTCGTAGATAGACACGGAATCAATCACTACTCGACGTATTCGGTGCTGAAAGCGTCGATCGTCGAGCGTTTCAATCGCACGCTCAAAAACTCGATGTGGAAGTACTTCACGCTGAACGGAACGTACAAGTGGCTCGACGCGCTGCCGCGTCTAATATCCGAGTACAACGCTCGCAAGCATCGAACCATCGGGATGCGTCCGATCGACGTGACGCCCGCTCGAGCGAGACTCCTGTCGACGGTGTACAGCCACCCAAAGATCGCCGCTCCGGGAAAATTTCGACCGAACGATCCCGTGCGCGTGAGTAAGTACAAGACGCTGTTCGAGAAGGGATACACGCCGAATTGGACCGCGGAGATCTTCCGCGTAGCCGAGGTGCGAAGGACGAATCCCGCGACGTATCTGCTGAAGGATTCGCCCGGCGAGCCGATAGCCGGCGGATTCTACGAGCACGAGTTGCAGCGAGTCTCCGATCCCGACGTGTATCTCGTGGAGAGAGCTGCGCCGAAAGGGCGACGCGGTTCTCGTGAAGTGGCTGGGGATGGACAGGTCGCATAATTCGTGGATAGACAAAGCCGACATATTGTGACGAATATACATATATTTTCGCGTAATATTACAGACGAAAAGATACATTACGCGTATTGTAACGCGTCGCAACGAACATATATATTGTATAACATTAAAGATAATAAAATATATTACGCATATCTATAAAAATACGTCGCATCGCGCTTAAGATCTATCCGCGCCTCTCCTCACAGAAGTATCCTGTAGTGCCCCCACGGCAGAGTGTCGGTCAAATCCGGCACTTCGTAGCGCTTATCGTCGTACGGACTGAGCGCGACCTTCGACTTGCGCACGGTGTACACCTCGTGTAACTTGGATCTCAGGCACAACTGCTCGCGAGTCATCTCGATTTCTCGTCTCAGACAACGCTCGTAATCGTCGAACGTCAGCGTTCTCGCGACGACGCTGTTCTTCACACCCTTGCTCTTCTTATGGAGGATTCACACTGTCTCCGATAGTACGATGACTGATCGGTCCGACTGATCGTACGTATTAAAGCAGTTCAAATTGTACACGATTAGCAGTTCCATGTGGTCTTGTAAACTAAAAAATACCTAGTGTAAATAACTAGATAAAAGCAGTGAATTGTCGCGATGGGTTAGTTTTGCTCTGTCGATCGCAGTGTCGCAGCTTTTATTGTTAGCAAAAAATAAAATGAATAATTTAATACTCTTAAAAAAAAGAAGAGACTATTAAATTTGTTATTAAAAATAAATCAATTGAAAATTATTCAATTAAAAAATAAGTGCTCTAAAAAGAAAAAGAAAATATGGATTAGAACATGTATCCTTGGACGAGAAACAAAAAGAGAAGCTTCAACAATAGTGCAAGAAATGCGTTTTCAAGACTTGGAGTGGTATTATAATTATACACGAATGATGCCTGAATCTTTCGATGAATTGCTTAATTTAGTTGAACCAATAATACGAAAACAAGAAACAAATTTTCGAAAACCAATATCATCTACTATTCGGCTGTTAATAACATTACGGTAAGTTGATCTATATTTTATTTATTTTATCCTGAAATATATATTTATTTGTTTACTTTTATATAATGTCAGTATATACATATATTTACAGATACTTAGCATCTGGTGATTTGATGTCATCACTCGCGATGTCATATCGTTTAGGTAAAAGTACCGTTTCTGGTATCATTCAAGATACATGTCAAGCTATTTGGGAGGTTTTACAACATCGTGTTCTATTTCAACCCTCTCAACAAGGATGGAAGAAGATAGTAGATGGTTTTTTTAGACGATGGAACTTCCCACATTGTATAGGAGCTATCGATGGGAAACATGTTGTAATACAAGTATGACATATTATTAATTTTGCATAATTTTATCTATATCAATATATACTACCTATTTGTAGAATAAAAAAAGTGTGAATTCGTCCTAACATTTTTTACAGGCACCACCACATGCAGGATCGACATTCTATAACTATAAAGGACAACACAGCATTGTACTTATAGCGGTAGTATCAGCATCTTATGAGTTTTTGATGGTTGATATTGGCGCCCAAGGGAGACATAATGACGGTGGAATTTTTAAAGGCTCCATTATGGGACAGCGATTTGAAAATAAACAAATGGAATTACCACCTCCATGTCCATTGTCAAATTGCAGTATATCTGTTCCCTACATGCTTGTAGCTGATGCTGCATTTCAGCTTAATGAGTATACTTTAAGACCATATCCCGGTAATCGATTGAATAAAACTAGAGAAATATTCAATTATAGATTAAGTCGAGCCAGACGTGTCGTAGAAAATGCGTTTGGCATTATGACTAGTAAGTGGAGGATTTTCAGAAAACCGATTAATGCATCGTTAACAACAACCGAAAACATAGTTAAAGCAACCGTCTGTCTCCATAATTTTTTATTATCAACATCACATTATGCAAATATTAATGATATGTATGAAAATGCAGAAGAAAATGCAGCTGCCATTGAAAATATTCGTTCAGTGGGAAGCAATACACACTCACGATTAGCAGCAGAGTTTAGAGATACATTCGCTCAATATTTTGTAGAAGAAGGCTCTGTACCTTGGCAAGATATGCGTTAAATGCAGCAATTCAATATATTATATTTAAAGAATCACAATAGTTACAAAAAAAATACGACAAAATTCAAATATTTTCAAATATTATATTTTTTTCCTTTTTATTACATTTTCAAATATTTTCTATTTTTTTCCATTTTCTTATTTTGAAACATTTTCTCGTAAATAAGTTTAACTTTATTGTACTCTATCAATACTCTAACAATTATTGCAGTATGTATCGATATAATTTAACTGTAGAAATAAAAAATATAAAACAATAATAAAAAAAATTATAAGAACATTATGTATTTAATAAAAATAAATTATGTAAAATAATATAAAAAAAAGAGAAAAACACCCAGAATGTATATCTCAACAGAAGTAATTATTTTAATATTTTAAAAATATTTTTTTTTAAAAGGTTAAATGAGATTGTGTAGTCGACCAAACTAGCCAGAGTTATAATTTATTCAATACGACGTTTCGACCATATGGTTGTGGTCCTTATCAAGTATACACTGAAATAGATATATAAATTACAAAAAATTATTATTTACATCTAATTTTCGGTTTAGACCGTAATATGCACAATTAATTTAGTTTAAACGTGAGATGTTTTAATATACATACAAATTAGCCGACGTAATGATAATCACAGTATCGGCATAGATAGTAATCTTGTGCAAAGCACAAGGCACATTAACAAACTTTATTTTAATTTCGATTTTTTGAGAACAATGAGTCCGTGTGGGACCTCGTCAAAGACTGAATACGATCATAAGTAAAACGGAATTACATGACCTTTATTATTTTGTCATAAATGTTGTTTAAATTTTCTGTGTCTCTTTGTAAGTTGATTAGGTTATCAAATCTCTTTATGAAAAACATCTCAGCAATTTCTCTTTTACGAACATACTTTTCGCTGTGTAGGATGTTCGGTTTTATCCAATCAAAATCATGACCAGATTCTAATCTATGCTTGCTAATTACTGAATGATTAGTTTCATGTAATTTAATGTTGTTACAGTGTTCTTTTACTCGCGTACGTAAATGTCTTTTTGTTTGTCCGATATATGCTAAATTACAGTCTTTACAATTTAATTTGTATACAACGCCTGTTTTATCATTATCGTGTAAGCGATCTTTACCACGTGTAATTAAATTATTTTGTTTTTTAATTATCTTATACACGACCTTAAAGCCTCTATTACGCAGGAGACGGTATAAATCTTGACTAACATTTTCAACATATGGTATTGTGATAAACGGAGTCACGTCAGAACGAGTAAGATTCACATCAGTTGTAACATTATGGTCACGATTATTTAAAATGTTGAGTCTTTTTTTAATGTGTTTATATATAAGATGTTCCGGAAAACCGTTCTTAATTAACGTGTCAAAAACTAGCTTTATGTTGTCTTGCTTAAAGCAGTCATTAGATAATAAGATCGCGTGGTCAACTAAATTGTAGATAGTATTAATTTTATACTTTTGTGGGTGGTTCGAGTGATAATTTATATACCTCCCTGACCATGTAGGTTTCCGGAACCAATTAGTGATAAGTCTGTTATCGGACCGAATAATTTTTACATTCAAAAAGTTAATGGATGAGTCATCTTCAGTCTCATAAGTGAATCTTAAGCGTTCGTGATAATTGTTGAACTTTGTCAAGATCTCGTTGATTTTTGCGCGTGGTACTATTGCGAAAACGTCATCGACAAATCTATAATAAGTAGGAACGGTAAAACCTAATGAGCTTAGACATTGCATCTCCATATCTTCCATTACCATATCTGCTAAGATAGGTGAAAGTGGAGAGCCCATGGGGGTGCCGAAGATCTGCTCATAAAAACGCCCGTTAAATGCAAAACAAGTTGAATCCAAGATCAATTCCGTTGCAAATAAAAATTGAGAAAGGTTGAATTTAGTGTTCTTGGCAATATCTTCCCAGCGTTTCCGTATAGCATTTACTACCAAATCTTTGGGGACGTTAGTGAATAGTGAAGCCACATCCAGCGACACCATGATGTTGTCCTTGTCAATATCAGTGTTCTTGATAATTTCGACAAAGGACCAACCATCTTTGACATATGAATTTGGTTTTCTTATCGATTTATATAGGATATCGTGGATGTAGCTCGAGATATTGTATACCGGGCTTCCCAAAGCAGATACTATGATTCTCAACGGGAAACCATCTTTATGAATCTTCGGCAGCCCGTAGCATCGCGGCAAATTTCCGTTTGTGCAATTTAAGTTTTTATATGTCAGCTCACCGATCAAACCGCTCCTACGCCAAGACTTGACTAACTCATTAATTTTGTTAGTTAATCTTATTTTTTTTTAGAAAAAAGGTATAAAAAATATATATATATTGTATATATAGGAAATAAATAAAAATGTTTTTCTGTAATAAATATTTATTGTAATATTATATTTTTTTAGGTAATATTTTTTATATAATAAACTATTATATAGAATTTATAATATAAAATTTATGTATGAATTGTTAACTTTATTTTAAAAAAAAACTATTTTTAACAAACTTCATTTTTTATGAAAAAAAAAACTATTTTTAACAAACTTAATTGTTAATGAAAAAGAAAAAACTGTAAACATAGATAATATGCACATATTTAGTAAATATTCTATGTTATTACTCAACGTAAAATAATTGTATGTTTGACTCTTAAAACTCTTGTAATTATAAAATTATGAAAATAAATATTTTTGCGAACTTTGCACATTATAAACTTAAACATTTGGTTTTTGATTTTATATAATCAATTTATAGATATTTCTCAATTATCTTGAATTTCAAATACAAATGACAATATTTTCCTTTGACATTTCGTAAAGTCATCCTGAGATAATGTACGAAGCTGAGTTGTTAAATAGTTACAAAAAGCCATCACTGGATCAGATGTATCATTTATAGATTTATCTGTCGCTTTTATTTCTGACATTATAGATTGTTGAAATAATGATAACTCATCATTCTCTTTGTTAGTATTCATACGTCGCTTCTTTTCTGCTTATAGATATTTTAACACATGCACACATAAATATGTCATTGGGATATATACAAAATAGGAGGGATTACACTCATACCTGACATTTTAAGATTTTTTATAGCTGTATTCTTACAGCTGCTATTTGGTATATTTTTTGATATTTCAGTCTCTTCTATCTTTATCATCGAATTTACATTTTGTTGTGTTGGTGAATAATCTGCTCTAAATTTACGTTGGTTACAATAATCAACGTTTCCTTGCAAAGAACTGTCTGAAGCTCCTGTATCACTTAAATTTGGACTTGATGTTATATATCAGTTTCCTGAGAATGTACAACTTTTATTACTGTTGCTTCTGGAAGCTGTTAAACTCGTATTACTATTTAGCTTTTCTAATTGTTGCTCTATGTAACGTTTATCACTATTAGTACTGAAAGATGCAGGTGGGCTTATGTTACTAAATGTCCTAGAAATTAATTAATATAAATATATTTACTTAAAGATTATGATATCATATAATGACTATGATATTATTTACGTACTTTCTACGCATTACTGTTGGTCTTAAAAATCCTAACAGTTCAAAATATGGCCCTGATACTTTAGGCTTAGCTTCAGCAGCGCTTCCACTTGGAATGTACTTTTTCTGTTCACTTAATTTTCTGACGTAAGTATCTCGTAAATTACGCCATTTAACATTCGCAGTACCTGGACGTAAATCTTAAAAAGACATTTATAACAATTTTAAAATATAAAAATATATTCTTTTTCTTCTTTAAAAATTGAACAACTTACTTAGTTTTTTATCAATCGCTGACCATAACAATTTTGTCCTGGATGGACCTCGTTTTTCATAAGGTAAAGTACTGTCCCACAATGGTGTTCGCTTAAAGACTTCATTAATTAATTCTTCCACATTTTGGACTTCGGTCAAAGTTGTTTCAATTGGTGACGATACCAAATTTGAATCATCATTGTTTGTATCCGGCAATTCACACTCATGATCGTCATCAATTGGATATTCACCACAATCTACGCAAAGTTTGAACTAAAACAAAGAAACAAATTAAATGTTACGTAAACTAATCCATTAAATAATATAGATGCAAAATGACAAAATAAACATAACCTAGATTTAAATATATTATTTTATATTAAACTTTATTAATTACCATATCGTCCTCCATTATGTAATCAAAATTACGCTTTCTACAAGATAATGACGAACGGCGATAAATATTATTACTTTCTTTCAAAATAAGTATTAATAAACGTTTTACGTCGAGTGAATGTCTCTTCTTTTAAGCTATATATTATCCATCTCTTTTGTGACTAGACAATCGTATGACGTGCTTCTTTGTGTCGTACGAAAAAGTTAAATCTTGACAAAGTTTATCGTACGACGAACAGTATCGTACGACAAAATATCACTAAATAGAGTTTCTAGAAATCTCATTCTCTTATTGGATATCGGATGTCGTGCGTCGGACATCGGAGGCAGTGTGAATCCTCCATTAGTGTCGCCCCTACCCTCGACTCGCAACGCGTACATCTTCGCTCTGAGTCCGACGAACTCGAGCATAACAGCGCCGTTGTTCTCGTCCTTCATCAGACCGAGAACCTTCTTATTCGCGTGCGGCACGCCGCAGGGATTGTCAACGGCGTAATCGCTCGTGTCGAATCTATCGATGTCGCGCTTCATTCGCTCGTATGCGTCCTCGCACTCTATGCTATAAATAAGACTGTCTATGTCGGTGTACAATATTTTACATTTATCGCCGTAGAGCGGCGACATGTATTCGTAGTGAAACGCGTACAGACGAATCTTGGATATATCGAGAATAGACATGCCTACGTAAATCGGTTTGTCGATTTTCGCCTCCAATTTGCGCAATTCCACGGCCATGAGATTCTCCGAGAATACGCTTCTACTGTGAAAATTTGGAGATGAGCGCCTCGGCTCCGAATCGTCCGTCCCATCGAGTCGCGAGTCGAACGTCCACGCGATTGCGCACGTTCTCCATGGTCTTGCCGAAGACGGCGTTGTTCATCAACTTGTACAGATTCTTCTCGAAATCGTTACTTGCGTTAGTGCGTAAGCGCGTGTTAAGTTCCACGTATCCGCGTAACCACGGCGACTGCGAAAAGCGTAGCGCGCGATGAATCCTCGTCAGACGCAGACCGTGACGAACGCACTGCTGCAGATTGCGATAGTGCGTGACGTATCGGCGCTTATCGTACAGCGTGGCTAGAAGTTTGCTCTGCCGCTTCCCCGGCGGCTTATCGCGCGTGGGACAAACGGTAGATCGGCGTGGGCGTCGTGCGCGTCGGCCGGATAGTCGAGATCGACCTCGAGAATGTAGCCGACGATCGAGTCCTCCGTCACGGACATCACGTCGAGACTCTCGAGGTCGTCGACACATTCGAATCGCTCGTACGGTAACGGCTGACACATCGCCCAACCGTACAGATTGTTGATATCGAGATACATCAGATAGATTGACGGTCGCGACGGATCGTACGCGCTCATGTACTTGTTGTTAGTGCGAGCGTATCTGTTGGAGCACTGATTCAGACCGCCGCGTATTCCGCGTTCCACGAACATCATCATATCGATATCGATGAGCAGCTCGAAACGGACCCCCGTGTACTTAAGCATCGCGTCCCACGTGTATCCCGGCAGCGTAAAGTAGTACACGGGATCTAAACCATAACTCTCCAAGCAAGCGGCGCAAAAATTTTCGAACACGTCCGCGAGCAGACGAACGTCGGTCTTCAGATAGAGATCGCTGTACTCGCCCAGAGTTTCGACGCTAAATCGCTTCCAGACGCGCGTCGCGTGCGCGTAATCGCTCTCCGATACGCCGTATCGCCGGTCAGAGAACTGTAGAAGGACTCGCGCGTCTCCCGCCATCTCTCGACGCTGTCGACGTACTCGTACGGAAACACGCCCTTGCGCGTGAGAAGCCGGAAGTCGTCGTCGGAGAGATCGCGAAACTCGCCTCGCGCGATCGTCAGTTTGCTCTCGTCGAGATACGACGCCAGCTTATCGAGACCGGCGCCTAAAAACTTGAACGAGTCCACGAATCGTAATTTGACGCATCTGGAACGCGCGGCGTTTCCCCCGTCTCCCTCCGCCGCCGCGGTATCTCGAACGGTCTTCGAGAAAGCTATGTACGATTCCTTCTTCACCGGCGACAACTCGACGCTGCTGGGATATGCGTTAGCCACATCCTTGATAATGAAGTGCGTAACCCGATAGATTGTGAAAAATACGGGTATGACGTAGGAGTCCTTGTAATTCAAATTGCACGCGGAATGCGCCGGACCTCTGAAACGGTCAAGAGACAGTGATCGCGCACGCGAGCGTCATCGGCCTCGAACGGTCTCTCGCACGCGTAACACGACGCGCTCGCGAATATCTCCCGCTCGTCCGGCGTCAGATCGCCATCGATACCACGGCGTCGAGGGCGACCTTCGCGCGAAGCGCCAGATCGCGCAACTCGCACACGAACCACGCGACGCAATCCTCGCCGCGATAAGATCCGTATGCCGACGCGGCGTCGTCGAAGGAGCAACGCGCGTAATAGGCCACGCTGTGAACTCTGTGATGCTGAACGATCCTCGTATTCTTGGTTCTCCCGCCCTCGTCCCCTTCCTTCCTTTCCAACGCGCACGGTGTATACCGCGAACGGAATTCGCTCCTTTCTTGAATGATAATCGAACTCCAGTCACCTGTCGTCCTCGCCAGAAAGAACGATCGCGCGATCGTTCAGCTTGCCGCAATCCTCGCTGTGCTTCTCGCTCGTGCGAAAGTAATGCATGCATCTGAGAAAATACGGAATAAACGTTAGATCGATATTTCGCTCTCACTCGCCGAGATCGAACGTTCACCGATCGCACACGTGCGTCCTGTGCTGTCGCTTGCTCAACTGCGAGCTGATCAGACGAGACAGATTTCGGATACAGGCGAAATGTCCGACCGCGTCACCCTCGCGCGTCGCATCGCTCAGATACAGCAGATTGACGTGTCTCTCCCTCTTTCGATCCGTCAGATGAAGAGGGACGATGTGAATTCCACCGCCACTGCCCTTTCCGTCGTCTCTCTTCGACGGTGTACACGTTCACCGATATATCGTTCAAACGCTCGAACCGTCCGATTCCGTTCAGAGTCATAGGTAACTTCGAGCCCTCCAGATTCAACACCTCGGAGTAATGCGGATATCGCGAGCTTGTCTCGCAGTGCTTATTGACGGGATACAGAGCGGCGATCACCGACCACGCGAAACACGCCTCGTCGCACGTTGACCACCGCTCTCTTCGTCTGAATCTCTCGTGGTACTCGCACGTGGCACCCCGCCCGCATGGGATTGTACACGTTCACGTTCACCGTTAGATCGAGTATGCGCGATAGAGCCCATCCGCTGTCGCGCTCTTGAAACTCCTCCAAAGACGCGACGGTATCGCCGACGACGCGAGTATCATACCACTCGCGCAGATCCGTCGTGGGTAGAAGGGGATAGTTTCTCGTGGCAATCGTCTTAACGGTGGTTTTATCGCCTGACACGAATTCTCCGTTGAACGTCGTGTTCACCTTAACACTGTGATATCAGCCCATGACGTCGCGCACGCGGCGGAGCACGGTGTCCCTCGCGTCCTCGAGAAATCTCAGAGGTTCCATGTAATCGAGATTTATCACCGCGCCGGTCAACACGCGTCTCTTGAAAGCCGTCTCGACCTCGGACCACGAGAATCCTTCGCGCGATTCGACCCCGCTACCGCCGCCGCCGTCGTCCTCGCGTCTCGCGACACCCGTGCCCTCACGCTCGAAGCGTCGCCGTAGATCGTTCCTCGCGCCGATCACTCGCAGGATTCGGGCGACCAGCGAGGTCCTCGCCCCTGTGGAGATTCGGCGACTCGCGTCTAGACACCTCTCGCGCAGAGTCGCGAGACACTCCTCGCATCGTCGCGTCCACGCGCGATAATCGTCCGTCGTGGCGACGTCGCGCGCGCTCTCAAGCACTCGGCGCTCCTCCTCGCGCATGCTCGCGTTCTCTTCTCTCCCTACGGCGATTCTTCGTCCTCTCTCTCTCCTCCCCACGGGGCCTTATCCACAGCGTCTCGCCTCGCGAATCCACCGGCAGCGAAAATCCGCTACGCGTCCCGGTCACCTGCGTATCTCCGGCGTCGAATCTCGCCGCTCTTCCGCTACACACCAGGACCGTCTCGATCCACAGCTCCTCGCGCGCGTCTCGAAGACCAATCGCTCGCCTCGTCAAATAGGTCGCGACGCTCCACGCGGCTCTTCTCAGATGATACGTCGCGACGTTCCATCGCGCGCTCTCCTTCAACTCGACGTCGTCGTCGCCTATCGGGCGCGCCAACTCTTCTTCCTCTTCCACCGCCCTACCGTCGACGGTAGAGACGACTCTAGCGGAACTCGCGCCGCTCATACTCGCGCCTCGTCGTTCGCGAACTTATCTTCCCAAGAAACGATCGGATAGACCGATCGCGACCATCTGCGAGGCGTGTGCGCGCCTCGAAACGACCGTCGCGTCTTTATACTCGCTCGTTCGAGCGACGACAACGTCGCGCGAGCGAGAAAAAATTTCTCCGCGGTCGCGCGGTTTTCGCCTTCGGAAACGACGAATCCGTCGAAATACCGCATTCGACCGGATTCGGCGCGCGTTATCGCGCGCGTCTCTCGCCGCTGCGCGCTCAAGAGGAAGGAACGGCGACGGAAGCGTCGCCGCGATTCTCGCTCTCGTCTTAGCGCGACGCGCTCGAGAGGAAGGAACGGCGACGGAAGCGTCGCCGCGAATATCCCTCGCGCGCGCGCGAGTAAAACCTAACTGAATCCCGCTCCTCTCTCGTTATCGCGCTTAAAAGGAGAGATAAGCGGTGAGACTGAGAACGCGCGCGCGACGACCGCGATATCGCGCAAAGACGCGATATCGCGCGCGCGCGACGAGGCCCTCGTCCGATCGACGCGTTCTCCATCGATCCTCGAGAACGACGACCTCCATCGACGACCTCCATCGACGATCTCCATCGACGACCTCCGTCGACGAGAGAGAGACGCCTCTACCCGCGACGTGTTCTCCCGATATATTGTACGCTCGTTTACGAAACGCGCGCACATTTAGGTTAAAATTCGAGCGGCGCGCTGGCGAACTCGCATCCGACGTCTACGACGAGACGAGACGAGAAACACCGCCGCGCTCCGCGTGCTCTCCCGATACATCGCACGCCTTTTTACAAACGGAAAGAAAAATATTCGAATTTACATTCGAGCGACGCATAAGACGCGATGGAAACGTCCGAGGCCGCTTGTCGCTCCCTCCTCGGCGCGTCGAAACGACGCGAGCCTGCGGAGGCGCATATATATATATATAAATCATACGTCACGTAAATCGTGCGTCAC